TTTTTTTTTTTTTGCTATAATTACTATTACTACTATTTTTATTCTTTTTATTTTCATCGTTATTTTAGATCCAAATGAACAACAAATCCAATTAAAAAGTGAAAATTTGACTAATATTGAAGAATTATTTGACAGTTATTTGTAACAGAAATATTTACTAAATATCATGGCACTTCTTTTGAATATGAAAAAGTGCCTTTTGTCACCACTGATGTAACTAGCATTTCTTTAACCCATTCACTTCTTGTCAATCATTAATAATACCATTGTTTCCAGAGAAAAAAAAAAAAAAAAAAAGCAAACGCAGCTGCTGAAAACTGGAAATTTGTAGAGAATAACTGAGGGACTTGGACTGAAAACTTCACGTCATTCGTTGATATTTAGGTAACAGGTCGCCCTGTAAAAATGTCCATAAAGCTTGTACTTGAGTGGGCCAGAATTTAGAAAACTACAACACCAAGTACCAATGTCTTCTTGGACACTTCCTCTTCTCTGTAGCACCAGATAGAAACCAAGCCTTTAAAACTTCCACAATTTTCAAGTTGACGCAGTCCGGGAACCGACACTGCCTGCTAGAGCAGCAACGAATTAGACGTCTAGCAAGTAATCAATCCTGCCGCCAAACTTAAAGATAATGTAGCAAAAACCAAAACGATGCCAATCGGCAACGGCAACCAGAAGACATTCTTGCTGTCGATTTTACCCTAAACAATTTCCGCCTGTCACGAACCATCGTCCTTTTAGCGAAAATGTATGCTGTATTGACTAAAAACAATACCACCTTTGTTTTATTAGCTGGCGTAATCCGGTTCGCGCTATGAACAGACCCATCTCAATGCTTGAAACTAATGGTTAAGAAGTAATCAATTTTTTATTGCTAGTGTCAATCAGACTGTATTTAACCAAATTTAAAATATCATACTCATGCAAGAAATACTGTAATAATTTAATATCATATTTGAGAATGCTTACGCCCTGTTCTATAGGAAGCCAATTAAGCAGTTGCAATTTGAAAAACTTATACACCGACAACATATCCATGTCACTGGTCTAGCTTACCACATTTAACCAACTTCATACTGTATTCTGCTGACAAAAGTAAATTAACAAAGATTTAATTGACTGTAACTACATAAAAAAACTCACATTTGCACTAACGATAACAAAAACTGACCAACTTTTTGCCACTAAACTTGTTTTTTATCCAATATTCTAAATACTGCTATTAAATCAGTGTTTCTTCTACACTTCAGAAGACTCGACACACGTAAGAAAAAGTAATCCAGATGTAGTAAATAGCCTAGTACCTCTCCTACGCATTTTTTAAAATAATACATTCTTTGAGAATTTCTTACCACAAAGTTGGAAAGAAAAATTAATAAACTCCTAAAGAAAGAAGGAAGGAAGTCATATAAAGTATAAAGCAACACGAGATCTTAGTACCAACAACAACAACGGCAGCAAACAACAACGTGAACAAAACAGAAAGTATGGAGGACTAAACAGCAGTAATTATATCCAGTGATAAAACCACAAAGCACAGCGCATTGAAAGAGGTGTTCAAGGAAAACAGTAGATTTGAAAAACTGATCCTCAACAAAAATCAAATGATTAATAATGGGAAAACCACCTATACAATTGGTTAGTGAATGTAACAACTATACCTTCTGATCAATAATAGACGATCGCAATGTAATCAGAGGTAAATACAGCTTTAAGCAATAAAGTATGCACCTAAGATTTACTAGCCTAATCATAAACCATTCCTCAAAAATTCGCAAGCTTACTTTAAAAAACAATGAGATACTACTAATTTGTAGCAAAACCATTAATCGAGGTAACAAAAATGGAAGAAACTGGCGATATGTTACTAGGAGTTAAAATACTTTAAAAAAAAAGAAAAATGTTTAAAAAGCTTCCTTTACATCTATTAAATTACTCACTTTTGTTACGCAACGAAAACTTCAACTTCAGAAGTACTAAAAAATAATTGAATAAGAAAAATAAAAGAAAGAGAAGAGAAAAAAATGGCTGAGTCAAGAAATTCTAAGTTATCCAACATCACATATCTCCATCGAATTTTGCATAGCTGCATTACTGCATTAGGAAAGAACATTAAGTCAATAAACTTAAAGAGATTAAGCAAATAGGTAATAATAATAGCAATTTTCACAAACTAAATACACAAGACGAATAAACTAAACTTCATTGCTGTCACTTTAAGTTCACGTAAGAGCCAGATAATATAAGGTTTAAAAGTTAAAAAAAATACCAATTCATCTTCTCTCAACTCCACCTAGTGCTAACATCCAGCAACAACTAGAATTTTGAAATTAAAATTAAATGATGAAAAACTTCAGGCTGAATTTTATTCACATACAGACACTTAACTTATATTCAGTCAAACTATGACTTCAACCTGAGAACAACTGGTTTTGATCGATTTAGCAGAAATAGGAAGTTTTTAGCAGAAATCTCCCGTAAAAAACAACAGTTTGACCTCATGCTGAAACTAAGTTGCATATGAAGTTTAGTGAAAATTAGGTAGAGAGAAAGCACTTACGTAGCTGAAAACTAGTAAGGCATTTAGAATGTTTTATAGAAATTTTTTCCGCCCATAATAACTGAAACAGCACACTATGCAGAACCTCAAACACGTTTTTACTTTTACAGTGAAATATATGGATTAATTTTTAAAGATATGTGAACGTGAATTGAAATTTTGAAAAAAAAAAACACAACAGCAAGAAAAGATTTTTCAAGAAGAAATCAAACGAGCCCTTTGGGGAAACCTTTAAACCGTAAATAAATGATTGATGCGAATACAGGACGGAATAGTATCTCATACAGAATTTATACTCACTCCACTGAAAAATGAATTTCTTTGTGTTATTTCTAACACTCTTAATATGAGACTTCAAAAGCAGTCAACGAACAAAACCCGTTATATAAGAACCAATTAATAAAGAAAAAAAGAAAGAAAAGGAAAACGTTGCTTCTTAAGCCTCTAAAACAAAAAAAAGTTCCTCGCACATACTGAAAGCACTATTTACAACGCTGCTAAAGGTCCATCAGATATACAAAAAAAACGCCTAGAAAATAATTCATAGATAAAAACTTTTTCGGCAGTGAAAAAAATGTGTAAATAGAATATGATTTAAATTTAGATATAGCTTCTTATTTTTAAAGTAGACAAGATTCTTCCTGACTTTATCGAGCTAACACTTGATGTCTAAGCAACAGAAGACAATTGAAAAGGCTAACAGAATAACCATAGGTGAAATAAGACAACTGAGCAAAATAATAACCTGCCTTTCGAATAAACCCGTTACAAACACTATCAGAGAGATCTACCAAACAGATTTTTTAGATGCATCACCGATCTTCTTCAAATTAGCAATCCCACTTTCAAGTCTGGCACTGTCTACAGATTCCAAAAAATACTTACAGTTGATAGCAAGTTGATTGGCAACTTTCAGCACTTGACGGCGAGCCAATTCACTATCTTCCTACAACAAGTTTACTTTCACCAAATTCTTCTCATTACAGTGGTCTCATTCCTTTATTGAGTAATTAAACACCAAATTTGTTTTTGAAAAAAAAGCAAACAATATTTCAACTAAAAAACAGCTTCGCGGTCAAATTTTTATGCAAGAACTGAATGGCTACATACACTAAAAACATTTGAACAAATCTCAAGCGATTAAGATATAAGTAACCGCGAAGAAAATGAAAAACTAATATCACTGCAGTCAGTAACAGAGCAAGTCTGAACAAACCTCGCTAGCAGATGAATCAAAGACTGCTTTTACACAATTCGCCATAGACCGCATATCAGATCCTAAGAGAGTCTCAATTAACTGCACTTGCCGTTGTCCTGTAGGTTTCAATGTAAGAAGGCAACTAGAAGTTTCGGTTAGCAACTCCTTTAGTGCATCCGTAATAGCCTTTAATGAGTATTGAAAACGATTACTTTTACAAATCTCTTTTTTGCTGGAGAAAAGAATTTTTCAGCACTTAAGCACGCTAAGCAATCCGCACCTGACACTTACATTACAAAAGCGCATAACGAACATATACGAATCAGCGACAATAATCAGCCTCTTTTATAAGAAAAATTTTATAACTTGATTTGGTTTTAAAAACCTAGCCAAAACGTGTCGCTTCAAAAAAAAAAACATTACCTTAACAAGGCTGACAAATAAATTTCTTTCCATGTGAGGCACAAATAACTTCGAAAACTGTGCCACGGCAGCAACAACATTGAAAACAGCGTCATGAATTGTGTCATTGGTGCGGTCAAAGTCGTAGCCTTCTGGAGGGAAAAGAAGTTTATCCGAAGGTTTTTCCATTCTCGAAACAGATGCAGAAAGAGTTTTTGCAGAAAAGTGGGTTGCCACAGGTAACTAAGAAACAAAATGATTAGTTAACTGCTAAAAAGATATAAAATTATTTTCATACTTTTCGGCAAATACTTTTTTAAAAATACTTTAAAAATGTGCTACCAGTTTTTCCTCTTCTTCCTCCAGCCACTTGCTGTCTTCTTCAGACTGTATTCTCTGCTGCTCCAAAGTCCTCCAAATAGTTGATGTAGGCACACTTGATGAGTCAACTTTCAGTACCGGTACTGGCTAAATTTATGACTAGAATCATTTTAAAAACTTTTATTAAGAGAAGAGACCTGAGCAATAAACATGAAAGAATTTGTTTTGATTAAAGTAAAATCAAACCTTAGGGTTTTCTTGCGAGCTTTGCACTACACCAACTTCCTAAAATAAAGTTCGATAAGCTGAGAAAAGAACAGTATAATAAGGCTTAAAAAGCTAATAATTCAGGCAATACTTTAGGAGGAAAAGTTAACAAATTTAGAGGGATTCCGCGATCTAGCTGATCCAGAAAATAATTTAGCGAAAACTCAATTTCGCTCATTGTCGGTCTAGCCACTGGCTCAAAACGCCACATTCGCCTTAAAAAAGAACTAGTTATAAATTCAAATTCAAGCAGTGAATTTTCAAAAATGATAAAATTTAAATCAAAAAGACAAGAAATAGTAAAAAATAATGAAATCCTAGCTAAGTAAAGAGCTGCGAAGTATCACCTTAGTAATTCATATAAAGCAAATGGACAATGCTCAGGTCTTGGAAGGCGTTCATCAGCTTCAATTCGTAATATTACTTCGTGATTTCGAATTTCTTGCCACGGTCTCACTCCGTACATCAAGATTTCCCAAATGCAGACACCTAAACCATCAATAGTAAAGAAATATTAGATGACGTCTTCCCCTCATTCCTTGACAAGATCTTCGCCTATGACTTACACAAGGAAAATCTCCACAGCTGCAGTACTTACCAAACATCCATACATCACTCGCTGTCGTAAATTGGCGGAAATTGATTGATTCTGGAGCCAACCATTTAACTGGCAGTTTTCCTCTAGCTGCTAAAATTTGATACCAATTATTTAACTACTTTAAGCCATCATTTTCGAATAGCAAATGAAAGATCAAAAACAGTCTAACTACGACTGAAGTTATTTTTCCTACGCAAAAAAAACACAAGTTGAATTTCTAAATGAAATAAATAGACAAAGAGTACTAACAAACATAAACAGATTCCTCGTCGATGCATCTGGTAAGACCAAAATCAGAAAGTTTTACAGTTCGCGGAGTAGAGAGCAAAACATTACGGGCAGCAATATCACGATGAACGAATTTATTTGAGTGTAGGTATGATAGCGCCATGCTTAACTGATGGCAAAATAGAAGCTGCACTGATAAATCCAACTGTGATTTGTGCTCGGCTAAATAATGCCGTAACTAAAATTTCTCATCTATTATACACTATTAAAAAGCAAATTAAAAAGTTGGGAGTAGCGAATTTAAAAATAGTGACAAAAGAGTTCCACAATAACTAGTTTAATGTACAGTGAGGAAGACCAAGAAAAAAAACAAAATTGTATCAAAGAGCTTACTTCTCCATAAGGAGCCAATTCCATGACAATCCATATCGGTGTTTCGGTACATATCCCTAACAGCTTAATGATGTATGGATGATGAAACTGCCCCATCATGTCTAAGTTTGAAAATGATATCAAACTTACACCCACAAAGTATAAGTGTTGCTACCATACCTGAACAAAAAAAACAACAAACTTACAAGCTTCCGACAGAAAGTTACGCATCTCTGCAGCCTCAGTCTCCAGTTTGCAAACCTTAACAGCGACAGCTTTTGGTTGTTCGTCCTGAAGTGAACAAAACGCAACGCAAGTAAAGCATACCAATCTCGTGAAACTAAAAGCTAACTAGTATCTAATCTGCGAAATTTCGAAAGTCTTTTTCTGAGAAAACCAATAGCTTATTCCAACCCTTAAATACATCAAAAATAATTCACCATTTCGAACAACGACGCTGAAAACAAATTGACAATCTAAAAAAAATTAAAACGACGGATTCTGGTTATTTTATTATACGAATACACTTACGTCGGTTTCGAAGTAAGTTCCACGGTAAACATTGCCAAATTGCCCATCGCCGAGTAACTCATCTAGGGTCACGCGAAATCGGGATATGGTAAGATCATCACCTAGCAAATTAAGATATCCCGTTTTCGTAAGCGGGGAAGCCATGAAAAAGTAGAAAAACCCTACATCTAGTTCTTTTAATATCAGAAGTTTTATCCCACTACTTTTCGTTTTAACCCTGCTATGGGCAAAACAGTTTGAAAACTATTTATTCAGTAATTTAAATATCAAGTTTAAACATCTTCACCAAGTGACGAGCTTCTTTTTAAACTTGGTCCTTGGCCGGAATGACCGTTCGATACTGTTACACTGTCTTCATTCTCTAACAGTTCTAAAGTTTCCGCCCATAACTTTTAAATTCGATGTGTACTGAGAAAAAGCGATAACAAAAGTGAGCTTCGACTGTCTTTTCGGAAGTAATTGTAAAAGCACTCCAATACTTTGAAAAGTGAAATCGTACAAAGTCATACGAAACTGTAGCACAACCTTCTGGAGTCCAAACTGATCCCCTGTGTAGTAGAAGCATCTGATAACCATCCAAAAGATGTGCCATTGATTCCGCAATCAATTTGTCAGGAACAGTAATGTACTAGAAAATGTAACTGTAAATCTAGGAATCTGATAGACTTTTGAAAAAATTTTCAAAAAATTTTGCTAGATAGGATTTACTGTAAACAACCACTTCCGAAAGATGCATGAAGAGTTGTTTTAATAATCCTTTAAAGGAGACTCTTGAACTCCACTATAAATATTAACTAAGAAATTGGTCGAACGAATATTACATATTCCAAAAATGCTGCCATATTTGTTCCAGTTTACTAGTGACTTCAAGATTAAGAAACAAGAAGCGCAACGGGGAACTTACCAGAGGTTGGCTACTACCAGAAAGACGAAGTTTCAGAGTAGCTTTTGTGGAATTCTTTTGTAACATCAAAATTGATATATCAACCACGAATTTCATTTCCGTTATCAACTTAGGCTATAAGAAAACTATTATCAGCCCGAAAGAAAAAAGTTTGTTAGATATTGCAAAACAAAACCTTCCAAGCAATCTAAAATATTGCCGTTCAGATAAACTGACTGAAGCTAAACAAAAACAGTACCACGCATCTACTGTCCGTGTTGTAAGATATACCAGCACGCATCCCGATTAAAATGTCCACAGGTGTTGACCATTCCTTCTGAAATTCCGTCGCCTAACATGAAGGAAGAGAAACCACTGTGGTTGAAGCGGAAATAACAAAATTCTTTCAAAGGCCTTAGTAACACTGAAACCTACTCCAATAGAACATCTAAATATCTCAACGTCGAACTGGGCTAATCGCTTGACGGTCTGAAGAAAATAAAAAATGCATTCTGTTGGAGATCGCGATGCGTTCCTTTTTATGCCTGCTATTAAAATTTTACGCAGCTGCTTCGGCTGAAAAATATATAAATGTTGCCATTCTGCATCAAGTCATTATGATTAAAATGCCATGAGAAACACTATCGATTTTATTACCCAACATAAGCTTCTTAATCTCTATGACGGTTCAACAACCTAACCTTCGTACTGACAACAATTGTTTCTGGCAGATATCTCTGAAAAGCTCCAGTGATTTCCAGCTCATCAAGCTTTCCACTTTTTTCAGAAAAACATCTAAAAACAGAGTGCGACAATTTAAAAGTTGAATGAAAAAGAGTTCAATGAAACCAACAGCCAATTATATCAGTATAATGTCTACTAGATATAATCAGAACAGAATAACTAACGTACTTATTAATCTCCCCAAGTTCTCTTCGTAATTGTAAAGATGCTAACTCAATCGCTGCATCGGGTGATATTTTCCAAGAAACCTATATCACACAAATTAGTTCGAACTGTTACAATATGTACACACGTAGAAAGATTATAAAAAGAGCTGAATTCAACGTGCAGCAAAAATTTAAAGTGACATTTCATGTCGCAATCGTAAAACTCATATTGTACCTGTGATAAGTAATCAGCCAAAACTTGGTCATGAAGAAACATAAATGCGTCAGTTTGTGTTTGATATAGTTCGTGTAGATCGCTGGGAATGAAACGCATCCGTAGTTCAAACCTGAAAAACAGCAATCTTCAAAAAACTAAAAGCCTCATACGTACTTGCATCGACGGAAAAAACAGAATTTTACGGCTTTATTGTAACCTTAGTTTCAAAATGGCTATGCGTTTGAATATGTTTATTATCTCCGTTTTATTAAAGGAGCACTCCACCATAAAAAAGGCATTTACAGGAAATTTTGATATATAATAAAACCAATTAACCTAAGTTGAGAACAAGAAGCTGTATTACTGAAATATTTGTCGTAGACATGTTGCATAGTATAGCTGCCATGCAGCCAATAGCAATCGTCATTATTCGACGTTTGAGCAGTCGGAAAGTTCAACAGCCGTAAAGCAAAATACCCGTACGACACATGGTCGATCTCCAATGCAGCAGCAACGAAGTTGATGATACGCTAAAAAATTTCAAGTTAAAAATTTATGCCAGTTAAGCTCTTAGCTTTCGTAAACTCAGATCAATAGATAAATTCTTTCCACACTTCTGTTTTAAAAAAGCCTCCATCTTCCATTTTTCGGAAAAATTTCCGAACATCTTTGCAATCTTACAACTAAAAAAAAGTCGGCTATTACTGTCCGGCTTTTCAAAAATCAAGATTTTACTTTTATTATAAAATAATTTTGCCTTACAAAGAAAAAAGTCAAAGTGTTGGTACGAGTAAACAGTAAGACTTTAAATAAAAAAAGTGATTAATTTAACCGTGCAATCTAATAGAATTAAATCAATAAAACGCAGAATAACCGTTATCCTGACAAAAAAAAACAAAAAAATTCGGTTTTTTTCGGCCAAAAAAAAAACGATGATGCTTAACAGAGGAACGCCAAAAACAACGAAAAATTTTTTTTAAATAATGGTAAGTTTAAGTTCCACACCAGTGCAAAGGAAAAAAACAAATACATAAAGTCAATTAGTAAACGTAAATAGTAAAAAACTAACATCAAAAGAAAAGTAAATATAAAACCAGAAAAGTCTCTCATTTAATCCAAAACTAAATAACTTCCTTCTTCTTTGACCTTGTCAACACTGACAGCAGTGGAAAATAAAAGTGATTTTTCGTAATACTAAGTAAAAATAACAACCAAAGAATTGTTGATACTCAGATTTCCAATGAATACAGAACAGATATGTTGGGGGAAAATAAAGAAACAGAAATTATTAACTTCAAGTGAACGCCCAATAATTTATAACCAATATAACTCACATCAGTTTACAGTCGTAAGCTTATGAAACATAAATCAATCCAGTTGTTTACTCTCTCTCAAAAAAAAAAAAAAAAAACCTGATAAACACCTATACTTAAACAGCCTAGTGATTCGGTAATTTGGTTCCAGCAGGAGGTAAAAAGATAGACGAAGTACTAAAAACGTGACATCAATTATAATGTTCGATAAATTTTCTGCAAAACTGTAGCACGTATTACCAATGCGGTCTTTAGAGTCCTTTTACCCATACGCTCACTTACGTTCTCAACAGCCAAATAAAACCGTCGTATTGTACTGCTTTAATTTCACTTATTTTTGTTCTATCTCTCTTTTTTTTTTCTTTGCCTCATTCTTGTTTGCTTTGATGAATTAATGATCGGTAGATGTTAAGGTAGAAAAATAAACTGCGGTGTCTACGGTGGCCAAAAAAACAACTTTTGCTACCCATTCAGCTGGTAAAAATTCAATGTAATTAAGAAAAAAGAAAAGAAAAAGCAACGTTAGAACAACATTTTTGACACAGAAAAAAAAAGACCATTTACCTGTACAGTTGTTTGACTGTTATAACGTACATTCTTGACGGTACCATTTGGAATATATACGCGAATTATGTCGCCGCTATTCATTTAAAGCTTCACTGTTTTCATTGATACTGTTGAAGATCGATGTAATAGAAAATGAACAAATTGACGACAGCAGTAACAATTAACTATATATAATTATAATAAAAACTATACACCCGTCTTCAACCTCTTTCCTTTTCTTTTTCTTCCTTTTTTTATTTTTTTCTTCTTCTTCGCTTTCTGCTCCGTTCTGTTCTTTTCGTTCTTTTGCAAATCTGCAAAAAAAAATCCTTTTTTTTCCTTCTAGTTTCTTGATTGAAGTTAACGGCAATAACAGACATCAAACTGTCGTCGATGATTAAGTTGTCAACATATGACGATACCAAAAGAAAACAACAAATACGACGGCAGCAAAAGAAAAAAAAAAAAGAAACAAAAAAAATTGTCATTTCAAAAAGTTCATTTTTTTTTTCATCTAGCCAAAAAATTGGTAAAAATAATGACAACCAACGAAATGAACTGTCGAAGAAAAAACAAATCAACATCATATCTAAACGATAATTATACTAACACAACAAAATCTATGAGTAGTTATTCAATAATAGCAAATCTTTAAAGACTCAACAGCCCAAAAACATTATGGAAATTTCTTTTTTCTTCTGTTTGAGAATAAACTAAAAATTGAGGTATTTGAGGCAAAATAAAATAAAATAAATAAAGCAAATGCAAAAGAATAGAAAGGAAGCAAAATGAAAGTACTTTCAACCTGAAACGCCCTTTTCTAATGCTTCCTTTTGATGTGTATTACAAGTTATTAGCCCATTGATAATCTGTAATACATTTGGTTACTACTTCATCTGTCACATTCCCACTTCATCCACATGTTTCACATGGCAAACTTTGTCGACAGATGTGCTCCAAAAGAAAATCCAACAACAAAAAAAAAAAAATTGCATTTTCTTTGCCAAATAAACTTTAAGAAAAATCGAAAAACTCAACGGCTAATAAAGCTGTTTAGAGAC